TGGTGGATGTGGTGGTAGAGGTGGTAGGAGTGGAGGAGGTGGGCGGGGGGGTGTTGCTGGAGGCGGCTGTGGAGGAGGGAGTGGTTTGCGCTGTGAAGGAGGGAGTTGCGGTCGTGGTGACGACCGTGATGGAGGGGTTGTCCACTTCGAGCGTGGTGACACGGTCGGATATGGAGGACATGGTGGCTTTTATGTCGTCGAGAGAGGCGGTGACGAAGGTTTGGAGCGAGTCGAGTGTGTGGAGGATGGCAGAGAGGTCGGGGGTGGCGGTGTTTGCTGGTGGTGGATCGCCTGCGAGGTAAAGATTCCGAATTTACAAAATGTCGACAAAGAATTAAATAATTTAAAGGAGGATTTTTTTTTGAAAAAGGAAAAGATAAAAGGAATTTGGGGATTTATGTGGAGGCAGGGTGTGGGAATTAATTTGATTCAGCAAAAATGCCTGCAATAAATTAATTCGAGAAAATTGTACGCCGATGTCGTACCAAATACCCTTGCAAGGGTATTTGGCGTGTTTCCTACAAGTCGCACTAGTGCGGCCTCGTCCGCACAACTGCGCGCGTACGGGAGGAAGCTTAGGCCCTCATCAGGATGAGCGGCGTGCACGGGGTATCGGCGGCAGGCTACGACTATGTGCGACATGAAAGGGCGCGGCATGGGTGTGCGCGGCGTCACGGGCCAGCGGGGCGCGCGACGTTTATTTATATTTTGTATTATTTATTGTTGTATTTTTTTTTTTTTGTAGGCCCCGACGTTTTTTTTTTTTTTAATTCGGATGTGCCGTCGGATTTAATGGTCGTCGCGACAGTCGAGGACCTTGGGTGCGCGCCCTTCAGGTTGGCCCACGGCGCTAGAGAAAAGGCTGAGTGGCGGGGCCAGCCGATGCGATGCACCGTTCGCTCCCCACCATCTGTGAGAGGTTTGAGTGTGAGCGTGCCCGCTGGGGCACGTAAGATGGTAAACTATGCTTGAGTTGGGCGGGGACAGGGGGCACCGGTAGCAGGTTGCCACAATTTTGGTTGTGTGGCAGGCTGTCCCAGCAGCAGGTCACACACCCACCTTGGTTTTCAAACTTCATCAATTGAAGATTCGCTACTACCACCAAGATCTGCATCGGGACCCGCTGCACCTTGGTCACGTCATAGCAGGCCCTATGCCCTCTCAAAGCCTGCAACAAAGGGGCCGCGTGCTGCAGTGCCATATGGTCGAGGCTGATCGATCCGGTCCGTGAGCTGAAACATACTCCAAGCGGATTTCGGCTTCGCATGACCATCTATCCGCTGCCTGTATAGACTAAGACCCGGGAGGTGTACGAGTGAGTGCGCAACTTAGCGCAAAAAGGAGACAGCGGCTAGTGCAGGGGAGAGGGATGACGGGCGCAGAAAGGAAGCACGGAGGCAGTGAGAAGGTGGTCTGCATCCGGACGCCGTGTCGTGCAAGGTGCATTCGCAAGATGAGGAAGTGGGAAAAAAAAGAAAAGCAAAAGAGGCGAAGAGGAAAGCGTGAGGAGGCACAAGAGGAAGAAAGGGGAGTGGAAAGAAGCTGAGTGAACCCGGATGGGATTTTGCGCCGGGTACATTCGAGAAGTAGAATGGTGAAGGGGAGAGATGAGAATGGGGAAGCGCCGTAGAGGGAAGCGCGTAGCTCGCTTTATCCTTGACGGAATTGGGCGAATGAAGACGCGAAACGGGGGTTTTGGGCTATGGCGAGTTTACCTATGGAGCCAGATTTCGTGTTTGGGTGGTGGTTTGGTCAGTATTAGCAGCAGAGGGTGCGCGGAGCTGTTCGAAAGCAGATATGGCAGGGAGCGGGACTTGGCATATCTCGGGCGTTTCTCGACTGATTGTGCCGAACCAAGATGCTAAATGGGGGTTTTGGTCCATTCCGAGCTGAATGGTTGCATCAGACTTGTGATTTGGGCAGCAGGTTGGATGGTATCAGTTGTATGGGCTGCGCGGAAGGGTTGAGAAAAGCTAGGAGGAGGGAATGAAAATCGACGTGCTCGGTTGTTTCTCGACCATTTTTGTAAAAGTGAGGATGCTGTTTGGGGGTTTTCGGGCATTGCGAGTTGATTTGTGAAGTCAGATTTGCAAAAGGAGCAGCAGTGAGGAAGAAGAAAACAAGGTGTCCGGAAGGAAGAGAGATGGAGGTTATGAAGGCGGAACTCACCTGATTCTTGGTGGGATTGACAAGGAAAGACATGGATGGGGGTGTTTGCATGACGCAAACCCAACGGTAGCGTTGGATTTTACAGTGGGGACATTGATTCAGGGCATGGTGAATGAGAGTTGCGCACGGGGAGGGGAGAAACTCCCCCAAATGTGGGAATGTATCTCTCCATGTTCTACCGGAAGACTCGTTCTCATCTTTTGCATCTTTAGTGGGTGGTCAAGAAGAGCCCACGAATGCCATAGTATCTGTTTTGGTGATCGTGGCTAGTCTTTCTGATCGCTCACGGTCTCCGTTGTCTTTCCATCCGTCGTGCGTTTGCTCCTGCAGCAGTCAACCTTCTCAGCGATGGAGTAAGCTACGGTGCGGATCAGTAAAGGGTGAAGCGGGTTGGATCAGGGCGTCGTCTGTTGCATGCGGGTAAGGACGGGCATTTACCTGGCAGTCACACTCTGCCCTCCCCCGCTCGTTACTAGTGGCTGTGTCGGGAGTTTTTGCCCCTTGAATTATAGACAACGAAGGCTGAACGAAACTGACCGGGGTCGATGGCCAAATCCATTCACTCGTTGGGGAAGGGAGCGAGGAGCAAGGAAGAGATTGCAGAGGGAAGGAGGAGAAAAGGGGACGAGTCTGAGACGTGGAGAAGTAGTGGGTACTTACCTGTGAGTGAGCGGAAAGAAGCAGCAGACTGCAAGTTTTGTTCTGTCTGCAGACCACGATCTGCAGTAAGAAGTTAAGTGTGAGTTTACAGCTAATCAAGCGGGAGCAGGCCGCTAGCAGCCGACAGAGCGGGCGACATGAGATGAACCGAGAGTCGGGCTACTGCACCAAATTGTGCGCTGACCCAATACGGGCCCTACTGTTGACAATGAGGTCAAGTCTACTAGCACAGTAAGGAGTCATTAACTTTGTAGAGACGGCGCCTGACGGGTTGTTGCTACTGGCTCTCAAGAGTCACTGTGTTCCTGGACCAACTGCGAGGGCTGCGGATACGGCCGTTGATCAGTGTGACACCCATTCCATTTAGTGTAGGCTTAGCCATTTGCCGGTGCATTGCTGATACTGTTGTGGAGAAGCAAGGCGAACCTATTTGTTCAGCTGGTACACTGCATATTTTGGTATACCGAGTAGTGAGGAGCGAACAACGGGGTTGGAAGACCCACTTAGTGATGGATATGAGGTTTATCCCGCCAAGCGGATTAGCGGGTCCCGACTGTGAGCAGGGTGCTTACTTAGGCTTAGTGAGGACTACATAACCGGTATGTGCGTAGACTCTGACTGCGACATGACCTGCTAGATCACGTTGCTGCTCCATTGCGGACAATGAGAACATTGTGTTTTTGATCCAAAACCCGTGTTTTGGGTTGTGGTCGGGACGTTCCAGATCTCGAGTTTGTGGAAGGAATCGACTGTTGAAGAGGGGAGGTATTGTTGCAATTTATGGAGTCGCCAGAGGATCAGCGACTGGCCGACCGACTTAAGTTTGACCAAGCTGCTGCGTTTTGGCCACGATTGCGGGGCCCTCAGGCGATTGAAGGTGTCAAGGCCCTCTCCTGGTAGTTGAGTTGTCCCCCTCCTGTATCTCGAGAGTTTGAAACCCCTATCTTATGTCCTTCTGATTCTAAGTCTGGTCTATTGGTTATGAGAGGAAGGCGGCAGGCAGGATTGCAACCCGTAGGACCGCAACAAGACTGTGTGGGGACTCGGCCCAGCGATTGCGGAAAGGCTCTGCCGGAACTCAGGGGGAGTTCTGGAGGCAGGGAACAGAGAGGTAAAGGTCTCGCTGTCATTCTATAAACCTGGTTATAGCCCATATTTGTATTCCTTGCTATGGTTGACTGAGTATATTGCATGTACCCCTATTTGTATTCATTACTATGGTTGACTGAGTATGTTGCCTGTCTCCCTATTTTGACTTTTCAGTTTGACTTTCAAGACACAATCCAGACTAAGTAAAGGAATGATTGTGCAAATTCAGTTTCAGTTTCAGTTTTTGTTGTTTGACTGAAAGCACATTGTGGGATTGCATCTGGGGGAAGGATGGGAGGAAGGTTATATTGTCTGAGTTTGACTGGGTCAACCAAAGGCTGAGAGAGTCTCCATAAGTTTGGAGGGCCCAGTGCTATGTTTATTTTGGATTGCTTGGGGGACCAGACAGGTTCCATAAGTTTGGGTGGTCTGGTTGCTTTGACTTGCGAGGGCTGACTGTGATTGACTTTTCAAGGACCAAGCATGTTCCATAAGTTTGGGTGGCTTGGTCGCCTTGTTTACTTTGTTTTTTTTTTCAATTTCTTTCTGCTTTGGCTTTAAGAGAATGAACCAGGCTGAGGACCAGACATGTTCCATAAGTTTGGGTGGTCTTGCTCCAACGCCTCGCACATGCTGGAACCAGAAGGTTATAATTTGGCTATACCTTACTACTATTCTATCTATGAACAGGCTAGTCTAACAGGGTTCCATAAGTTTGGGTGGTCTGATTATAGCTTATCACCAACTGAAGAGAGTATCAGTTAAGAGTAAACTTGTGGTACGAAGGGGCAAATTGAATCTTGAGCTAAAGATGATCGGTTCAGTTATATGCTACCTCAAAAGACTAAGTGCAGACAACTATATAAAGTTGGGATATTTAAACAGTTCAGGCCTAGTCATATGCCCAAAGAAGAGAAAAGTTGTAGTGCTCTGTGTTTGTGTATATTCTATGGCTGAGCTAGGCAGGTTCCCATAAGCTTGGGTGGTTTAGCTTTATGCCTTATGTAAGTTGGGTATAAAGGGATAAATCATTGAAAGATTACGAACTATTGTTTGTCCAGGTTAACTTTGGGGATGGTGAGAGTACTTACCTTTGTGGTTTGGCTTTCATGTGGCTGAGTGAGATTAATACTAGTCTGAGTATCAGTTGATAGGTAGTTGCTTTAGTTGCTCGCCACGTGCTAGAGCTATAGGAGTCAGTTTCGATTTCTGCATTTTCTGGGCTAAGTTTTTTTTACTTGGATCAATTCTCGCATTTTCTGGGATCTTTTATTATACTTGGTCTTGTATAAATCTTGGT